CCTGTTCTCTGAGAAATTATTTCTGATTTCATTTTTTCCAGATCCCCTTTTGTTTCCAGTTCAGTGGGTCCAGGTGGTTGAGCATCAGAGTGTTCCATCTCATTTCCCTTTGGGGTTTCTGTAGGTGATCTGGGAGTCTGGTTTTGAGACTTATTTACGTGTTTTCTCATTTTGACTGGGGGAGGTGGGGGCTGTTGGTGCCTGCATGGATTACCTCCTCTGACCTGGGAGAGGTGGGACAGGAGCTGGGAGCAGCAGTAGGGATGGTGGCCCAAAAGTCCTTTCCTGTGGCTTGGGAGCAGTGGGAGGGATGGTGGCCGAGAAGCCCCTTCTTCTGGTCCAGGAGCAGTGGGATGACAGCTCAGAAGCCCCTACCTCTGGGCCGGGAGTGGTGGGAGGGATGGTGGCCGGGAAGTCCCTTCCTCTGGGCCAGGAATGGCGGGACAGAAGGTGGCCCAAAAGCCCTTTCCTCTGGGCTGGGATCAGCGGGAGGGATTATGGCCAGGAAGCCCCTTCCTCTGGACCAGGAGCAGTGGGACGGCAGCTCAGAAGCCCCTACCTGTGGGCCGGGAGCACTGGGACTCAGTACTGTGGTCTGGTGGTTCGGTGTCCACTGCGTCTTTGTAGTGTGGAACCAGGTGGCTGTACAGAGGAGTGGGGGGTGCAGAGTCCAGTGGATTGTTGCCGGGGTGTGGGCTGATTTGGAGTCTTCTGTGTGACTTGGGACCTCGGCAGGGCATGTGCAGATCTGCCTGTCTGCAGCGGGCTTGATCCTGTCTTCTATATCTGATATTCTATCTTCAGATTCCCTTAATCTGCTGTGGATACTTTCAATGGAGTTTTTGATCTCCTGAATATCTGTTTGAATCTATTTCATGGATTCCATTTCTTTCTTATGTTGGGTGATCATGGTTTCCATTTCTTTCTCATGCTGGGTATTCATGGCTTTCAGCATGTTTCTGAGCTCATCTATTTTTTTTTATCTGTTTCTGTTCTAGATCCTCTAATCATGTCTTTCACTCTGCTCACCATCTCTGTATATATCTAGGAGATTATTTCTGCTTTGAATTTTTCTAGAGCCTCATTCATCTGTTTTGTTACTTCCTGTGCTATCAGTTCAGGATATGCAGGTGTTTGGTTATGGGACTTTTCCACCTCATTTCCCCTAGGATTTACCCTTGGTGGGTGGAAGTCTGAGTTTGTGTCTTGCTTAAATGTTTTCTCATTTTTGTTTTTGGTACTGTCCTTGGTTTAACTCCTGGGTTGATAGTTTGAAATTGCTTATTGTAGGTATCTTTGTTTCTTGTAATTAGAACCCTTATGGAATGATTGCTTCTCAGAGGTGTCTTCCAGATATAGCTGA